ACATTCACCAGTAGACGGGCAATCTCCCCCATAGTAAGGAAGGGGCATATGTAGAAAATACCTTAAATTTTGTTTAGCACTTTTAGTTTTCAAAGCATTTTATTTTGTGGGAAAAGTTTGCCTAATATTGTCTAGGATAGAAGGCCAAGCTTATTAGCTCCAGGCAGGGAGATGTACAAAAGGCAGCATTAGGGAAGGGGGGCGGGGTATAGCCAGGAATACAGTTAAACATGCAGATTTCCCAGAGTCCTTTGGCCTCCTGTACTGCAAGAGCAATATTTACCCCAACACTTAAAATTTGGTGAACTATAACTAAATTAAACTGCTTCAAGGACCATAACTTTGAGTTATCTCTATAGTTGCATGTATACAAAAATGTTTATGGTTGAGCAGAGTCATCAGATTTCTTCTTTCTACAACTCTGGGTTATTATCTAACTCTTAAATTCTTATTGGTATTCCCATTTATTCTACTTAATTAAGTGTATAGTTTATGCACATTGGAACCAGAAGACACTACCACCCTCACCTCCCCAAACTTCAAGTTCCTTGTCTTAAAAAAGGTATGAACAACAATAATGCTCTGTCATCCATCTAGCTTGGCCCCCCCAAGCTGGTTCAGTCTGTGTTTCAGGTCTCTGTTCATTTTATTTATTCATTCTACAAGCATCTGTGCCAGATGTAGTGCCAGGTGCTACTGATACGAAGACAAAAATGAAACTACCCTTGCCCTCAAGGAGCTTGCATCCTACTGGAAACAATATGTACAAAAATAAGTAAATGCAAATTAAATACAAAGCAATGTGGGGAGGGCATCATTGGGAGCACTAGCAACTGAAGGAATCAGGAAAGGCCTTCTTTAGTTGTGACGTTTGTCTGAGAGGTGCTGAATGTACAAGCAATTACAGGCTTCAATTATTTAAAGTAATCGCTTAGTCAGCAAATATTGGGGGGTGAGGGATGTGGTAAACGAGGAGAGCTGGGGGATCACTTATGAAGCTAGAGCTTTACCATTTGGGCCCACTATTTGGGTTTTTTTTTTAATATTAATTCCAAGGAAATTCAAGTTCAACAAATATTTACTGAGTTTCTGGTATGTGCCTAAGCATGGGGGAATTCAAAACAATCTACAGGGACTTATAAAAGTCATTTTGTAAAGAAATGACTCCTTCCTCATTATGAGGAAAACAAAGACATATTTAACAAAAATCCAATCAAAATATAAAAGGCAGATGTTTCCAAAGCCAAGTGCAAATTAAATTGTTTTAATTACCAACTCTCGAATTATCTGTCCTCATACTACTTCCTTTCATAAAAAGAAAAAAAAATTTCTAAGTTGGCTGAGCTTGCTTCTTCTTATGATTCTTCTATGTCCATATATCCCAGGCCACAGAGCTATTTATTGGGAGGGTAAGCCATCTTCAACTCAATAGACATTTATTAAACACTTATTCTTGTCAGGCATCATGCTAGGTACTGGGGACTTTTATTTTTATATTTGGTTTGGATCTATGATTGCGTCATTTGGGGGATCTCCCAGTGTGGAAAATCTCTACCAATGAAGATCAGCAATAGGTCAGTAACTCTATAGCACCCAGAAGTTAAGTAACTTGCCCAGCATCACATAGTTTATTACATATCAGAGGAGAACTCGAACCCAGATAGTCCAGACTCTAAGGCTGGCCTTCTACACTGGAGGCCACACTGCCTCTCTAGTGCTAAATACAGGGAATAGAAATTAGATGTATAATTTCCCTGGTACAGAGAATTCCTGGGTGGGGAAATTCCCTTTATCAATTCAGGTCAGCACCTTCTAGTCTATATCACAGAGGGCGCTCAGCACAAGGTGACTTACCCAGGGTCCCAAAGACTGTATATGTCAGAGGTGGCTGTTGAGCTAAGGTTTTCTTGGTTTCAAGAGCAGTATACTAACCACTCAGTGGCTGCACTTCTTAGAAAACAAAGACAAAAAGGGGATAGCCCCTGCCCTCCAGAAACTTCCATTCTAATAGGGGAAAGTCCCCACTAAAGCTTAACTTAGGCATTTACTACCAATGAGTTTTAAATTTTGCCAAATATCTCTGTGCTTTTCAATGTGCTTACTGTATCTCCAAGGTCAGTTTATTTTTGTATATGGCCAAACAAATCCAAGTTTACAATGCATTACAATACAGTTCTTTAAGTTTATGATGCATATGTATTTTCTGGAAAGTTCCCACTCCCAGACATAGTCTACAAGATGGAAAAAAAAACCCCAAAACTAGAAAAATGTATTTTTAGCAAGCAGGACTAAGTTTGTAACATCATTTTTAATTATTGTACAATTACTGATAGAAGCCACAACACCCAGTGACGTAAGGTGCCATATTCAATGCAGTTCACAGCTTTCATACTGTATTTCTGAGTTCTATTTTTTCCCAGCTTTTTCAACTCCCCCAGCCTCAACTTTTTTTTCTTTTTTAATTCCCCTCAGACCATACCACTCATCCATTTATTATATCTGAATGTCTCTTAAAGTGAAGGCTTTGAGTAAAAGTAGACTTTTTGTTACAGGGAAATAGGACCTTTATACATTATCTTTGAACCTGAGAAAGTGACTCTTCTATGTCAATACAGACATATATGGGGTCCATACAAGAATCGCATAGAGGAGATAGTGAAAATAGGAATAGAGTCACTTATAAGCATTTCCTCATTCCACTTTCAGTAGGATGTAGGCTCCATGAGGGCAGGGGCCATTTCCATTTTTATGTTTTGTTTTGTTTTGTTTGTTTGTTTTAGCACAGTGCCTGGTACATAGTAGGCACTCAATAAATGCTTCTTGATTTGATTTGCACGTCTTTATATGCCAGCACCTAGCACAGTGTTTTGCTGAATTGAATTCACACATGCATCCAAACACAGCCATATAGATGCACAGGCATAATATTGAATATATTACTCTTCAAATTACAACAGAGATTTCAACAATCCATAAAGAAATGACACACAACAATGAAGGCACAGTATTTCTTCCCTATAAAATAGTCCTTCATGTTTTCCATTGGCTCAAAATGCTTTTATATCTATTATCTATCTCATTATCCTCATATATCTCTACGAAGATAGAAGTAGGAGTTATTATTCTCATACTGTTGATGGGAAGACTGAGTCCCAATGCAATTATTGTGACTCGCTCTTTGAAGCATTAGCACACACCATGGTATGACAGAAAGAGGGATGAACTGCAAATCATGAACCCTGGGTTCAAACCTGGTTCTCAATACTTACTAGTTAGCTATGGGTAAATGACTCTGGTAAGCAAGGAGAGGTAGGGCATCACTCATGACCTTTACTTTAGGGGCCCACTATTTGGTGTCAAGTTCATCAAATATGTATTGAGTCTCTGGTACCTAAGCAAAGGAGATTCAAAATAATCTACAAGGACTCATAAAAAGTCATGTTTTGTAAAGAAATAACTCTGCCCTTACCATGGGAAAATGAAGACATATTTAACAAGAAGTAGGTAATCAACATGTATTTAACCTTTAACAACCTCATTGGGCCTCTATTTCATTGTCTGTAAGATGGGGGGAATAATAATTGCACTACCCCCTCCCAGTTGGGTCCTTGCAAGGAAGAAAGTATTTTGTAAACCTAAAACACTATATACATATTAGTTGCTGTTGTTATTGTTACAAAAATACAATTTAAAACTCTAGATTCTCCACCACATGCTCTTTCCAGTTAGGCCATGTGGTTTCCTCCACAGCACTTTCCCTTTTGACCAAGCACTCCCCATGTCCCTTCTTCTCCACCCTCATTTTATTCTTTAGAAAAACCTTTTGAACCATTTGCCTTTGCTGTATGTGACCTCAAAGAGCTATTACTCTTGCAAAATCCAGAGCAGTTACTAGTTCTGACACTGTTTACCTACATCACACACACACGCTAGTTTATCTGGGAAAACTACATGTCTACATTTCAGTTTCAATGCGGTGGAGTGATGGGGGGAGTGAACAGCTCTGAATGACTACCCACTGGACCTCTTGCATGCAAGGGTGATTTGCTGAGCAATGTGTAAGTCATGTCTGAGTTATATGGACACAAACAATATCATGGTTCCATTTGATTAAAAAAAAAAAGTCAGGAAAATGACCCAGAGGCCTGTTTTTGAAGAACTCACATTGAAACACACTAAAATAGCCAGAGTACCCAGAATCTAATCACTGTGAGGTATAGGAAGGGAGGAGGGTACAGAGGAAAGAGTTTAACAAAGGATTACACTATTTTTCCAGGGATTGGCAGAGGGAATGGTAAATTTCTGTGTCAGATTGTAGTAGATGAAGGGATATAAAGGAAAATCCTTAGGAGAGAGCCCTTGTTCTAGATATATCCCACTTAAGTTACAAAATGGCGTGATGGCAAGAACCCTGGAATAGGAATCCATAGCTATGGCTCTGCCTGTCATTACCTCTGGTACTCTGGTGAAACCACTTCTCCTTTCTAAGCTTCATTGTCCTCAGCCATAAAATGAAGGGGCTGGACAAGATGACCTCAAAGACCATTCCAGCTTTAACAATTTATGAATCCACAAAGTCTCTTGTCTCTTCTTATGCCCCTATTTCCCCTCATGGAAAACGGGGATGACAAGTTAGCAGGGCGCTCTGCTATCTGTAAAGTACTACAAAACAATAACTCCATATGCTAAGCAGACACCAAAATATCAACTTATTCAAATGCCCAAGAACAGCAAATACCACACAGCTGCTAGAATCCTCAGCGCAGAGGGAAATTTGTCTACTTCGAAACCTTGGGGTTGAGGGGGAAGGAAGAGGGAAAATATCCTAACATAACCCCAAAGATGAATTTCACAAGTATTAGGAGTATCTCTAGTCTGGCAGACTCTTAGAGAGTTAAGAGGTTATACTGTAAAGGTCAAACTAAGCAGTTTTCTCCTTGAAACCTGGGGGAGGGACCCTTGAGTACAGACAGCATAGTAGAAATCAGGATTGTACTCACACGTGAAGAGCAGAGAAGCCAAGAAGCCCAATTCATCAGTTCTTCTCAATCAATTCCAAAGATAGATCTGTAGGGAAAAAGAATCACACAGGACAAAAAAAAAAAAGGAAAAACAAAAAAGAGAGAGAGGAAAAGAAAGAAGAGAGAAAGACGAGGTGTTAGCTGAGTTGTATGAAGCTTTAAGAATGACTCAGAGCTATCCTAGGAGTGGCTACCATTAAATTAGGTTGTTGAAAGAACACTAATAAAACTCTGTACTCCCCCAAATCTCAGAAGATTGCACCACTAGGGAAAAAAAAAGTGAGGCAATGTATTTGGGGTTGTGGTTTGCAAAAGATTGCATTTGGGGCTAAAAATCACAGATGAGTCACAGCCCACTTGGATGGTGTGGAGTGAGCCTAGGGAATGCTGGCCTTGGGCCTCTGCCCTACTCCCTCCTCCAATCCCCTTTCTTTCTCTTTCTCATGGGATTTCAGCCTTTCCAACCTTAGCCAAGAGCAGCAAGTGAGCCTGCCACCAGGGCAGGGAGAAATTAGGAAACAAGTGAACTGAATGAACTTTCTCAAAGCTCTGTGCAGTTCAACTCTTCAGCATAAAGTTAGGAAAGGAGGTGACCCACTAAGTTTTAGAGGGTCTTATGAAGTCACTTAGACCAGTCCCTTGTCTCAAGGCAGAGCCACATTCCAGGGAGGTCATAGGATTATAGATTTAAGCTATAAAGGGCCAGCTCTAAGAAAAGGTATCCATCCATTTCTTAAATCCATTTTTAAAAAATCTCCAGGGGAAGAGAATGCACAGTTGCTCTCAGGAAGAAATTTCTGTCTCTAGTATTAAGATCACAGATTTAGAGTGGGAAGGGACCTCAGAGGCCACATAGTCTGTAACCCCTTTATTTTTCAAATGAAGAAACTCAGGCCTGGAGGGTAGAAGTGATTTGCCCAGGGTCACAGAGGTAGTAAGCATTAGAAGTAGGTTCTGAACTCATAACATCAGAGTCAATGCTCTCTTCACCATACAACAATCCTTCCTAATTATCCTTTGGGCCAGGAAGTTCTACGCTACATCTGACATGAATTCCTCTTGTTACAACTGGTCTTTCTCAGAGACGGAGAACAAGGGGTGCCCCGCTCCTCTTAATAAACATGCTTATTCTCATCGCAGAGCAACTGAGCAAAGCTATAACTGGCAGGCCTCCCACCAGGAAGGGGATTTTTCTCTAAGCCACGTGATCCAAAGATGGGGCAAGGTCTTTATTTGTGCCTCAGATTTTTTTTTTCCCCACTCTGACAGCCATGATGAATCAGGTATCCACAGAGAGAAATGGAAAATTTGTTTTTCTGTTTTTGGAGAAGAACTAAGAAGACGGCTGGGACCTGGATATTTGAATGTAATATTCCTTCATGCAGTTTAAAAAAGACACTTATCCTGATGGATTTCCCATTCTAGAATTAATCCAGGTTTACAGCATTTTATTTATAAGTTTCTCTACGAGCCAAAACATGCTCCCTTTCATTCATAACATGGAGTTCCTCTGTGTTAAACAGCCGATTATCATGAATGAAGTGGGTGTAACTTCCTTAGAATTCTCCAAAAAGCTGTCAAAGCAGACCTACTACAGTTTGGTGTTCCCCTAGAAGCTGAGACATTTCTAATTGTTTTTCCTTTGTTCTTAAGCAGGTTTTTTGTTCTGTTTTGTTTTGTTGTGTGCATGTGTATATGTGTGTGTGTGTGTGTGTGTGTGTGTGTATGTATATGTGTGCTGGTGCACTATATGTGTGCCTGTTAGTGTATGTGTGTACTTAACAATGAGTTTGCTGAGATTTCTCCCCTTCCTTATAAGGAGAGTGAAAAGGATAATAATTTAGCTTCTCAAACAAATGCAAAGATTCTAAAAGTGAAACACAAAACCAAACTTCAAAGCAACTGAAACAGATTCTTTGGGGCTAGGATGGAAACTTGACCTTGGCTGGGGAGGGAGTTGAGAATGGATAGAACAGACGTAGCCAACACTATATAGCATTACCAATAGAATATACTTATTAAAAATAGAGGCTTTTGTTATTGCTTTGTATGACAGGGTATAGTCTGAAATTTCAAAAGTATCATAAAATTCCCTATATATCATCCAGCCCATTCTTTTCCTCCTTTTCAGTTCTAGACCCAGATCATTGTTGACCTGCAGTTCCAGGTCAAGATCTATATACTGATAGATTAATTTCTTAGGCTGCCCATTCCGTTGTATCTCATAATCCGGGCAACAGGCATTCTTCATCCACTTGGGTTTTTCTATGTGAATTGTTAAGTAGCTTTCCTTATTCTACAGGAGACTTTATGGTAAGGCTTCTTAACCCTGGGTCCATGAACTCGTTTATTTTTTAAAAAATATTTTGATAAGTGTATTTAGAGTAATTGATTTCCTTTGTAATTCTGTGAAATGTTTTATTTGCACATTTAATACATTAATTTTATTTTATATTAAATATTAATATACTTAATTTAATATTTAAATATCAAATATGTATTACTCATGAGAAGGGGTTCCATAGCCTTCACCAGACTGCTAAAGGTATCCATGACAAAGAAAGGTTTAAGAACCCCTGCTCTGTAGTATTCTTTGTCTTAATGCAAATCAGCACAATGTCATCCACAAAAAGAAATATTTGGAAGACCTCATTTTCTATAGGAAAGCCCTATTTCATCAATTCAATTCCACAATCAATTTATTTAGATCCTACTATGTGTCAGGTACTGAGGATTTTTTTGTTCTCTATAGGTCTATGGTTTCATCAGTGTGAAGGACTCTTTGATATGGAAACTCTTCCCACTGATACATACTGTCAACTATAACTTCTATTCTTAGAGATTTTGAGAGGTTGATTACTTTACTAAGGGTCATATAGCCAGGATGTGTGAGAAGCAGAACATGAACTCCGGTCTTCTTGACTCCAAGGCCATATCACTATCCACTAAACTCTACTGCCTTTCAGGTACTGAAGACATAAAGACAAAAAGAAAACAATGCCTACCCTCAAGAAGTTTACAATCTAGCGGGAGTTCAAGATAACCTTAATGCATGTAGCAACCACAGTCACAAAGATTTTCATAGACATAAGAAAAATGACATATGGCTCAGCAGTTTCTGATGTATTCTCAGTTGCTTTTTTTGTTAATGATAATTGCATTATTTTCCCCCATTCTTTTAGCATCCTTGACTCTGATCCCTCAAGGCTTTCAAAATTATGCTACCTCTAGCAAGGATTTCTTCTCTATGTGCCTGGTTTGGCCTCAGCCATGCTTCACTTCTCTTCTCCAGTGACATTTCCACTTTTTCCTTTGGCCCATACTGAGGTATTTGGGTGTAAGCTGTCGCTGAGGTTGACTCAACAACCATAGAGTGGAAATGTTGGCAAAACTGTTCCATTTGGCCTGTAGAACACAAGATCCCTCCATTGTTCACCTCATGTTTTTATCCACGTGTGCTTTTTTGGAATACTCTGTTTTAGCCAGGGTTTCTGTTAGCTCATGTTTTCCCCTCCATGGGCTTCTGTTGTTTTGTGAGACAATACCACTTATCTTCCAACATAGTCTCCTAAGATGTTTTGCAAATGAACTTATACTCTAAAGCAATGCTGCCTTTGGCTATTGTGTTTCTTTGATTAGAAAGGAGATTAAGTATTGCTGGGGTATTTTCTAGGTTCTTCTGGCATTGCCATGGTGGGAACTATTTTATATGTTAAACTTCTCTATGAAATAGGGATAATCAGAGTCAATGTCTTTACCTTTATCCATTTCCCATTCTTCACAGTCAACAACTTGCTTGAATAGGACAAACTGGAACTGTTGTAAAAGAACATAGAAGTTTTTGTTCTCATCTTCAACCATTCTTCAAATTTGGTCTCATTTTTTGCCTCTGATCCAGCTATTTGATGATTTGATTGTATATAAAAGCTGCTGCCCACATTGGCAAAAAATTTATTTACTGTAGGCAATTTCACTTAGTGAAATAAGGAAGTATTCTTTATATACAGGTGTGAGGCTTTCAAAGGTTTTTACACACCTTTGGCCTCTTTTCTTAATCTTGAATCATATCTTCCACCTTTCTCCATTCTCATTGAAGTAATCAATATCAAGGGATATGCTGATTAGGGATAAAGGATTATATCAAGCTCTTCATAAAATTTCTCAACATTTTCTGGAACATAATGACATGTAAACTGCAATTATCTCCCTGGTAGTCTTTTTTTTCTCTCATCCAGGGGTTCTTAACCTGATGTCCATAAACTCATTCTTAAAATTTGCTTGATAACTGGTTTTCAATATAATTAGTTTTTTATATTTTTATGCATTTAAAATCATTATTCTGAGACGGAGCCATAAGCTCCACCAGACTTCCAAAGGAGTCTATGACCAAAAAGGTTATGCACCCCTGACTTAAGCTTATCATGAATACTAAAATGTACATGATTAACAAATCTCTCAGGAAATATTGTTTCCTATTGCCACTGGGCACACAACAAAGCCTCCTGTGCCAACTTCCTTATTTTTTTTCTTGGGGAGATCCTGTGAGTCATCCTTCCATTTACCTGCAACTTCATTATACTTTCTGATTTGATTTCTATTTTAAAAATCCCATTTTAAGGTGGTTCAGGTCTTCTGGTAGCAAATCAACTTACTGGTCATTGTACAAAGACCTCACATTTAGAACTCCAGTAATTAGATTAATATTTACAGATAGTTTTTTAAGTGATTCTTGGAACCCAGTTTTTCTTTTATTACATACTAGCTAACTTTTATGAGGAACTTTATACACATACACATACATACATACATGTATGTGTGTATGTATATGTATATACGTGTATTTATACATGTAAATATATATATATACATGTATATTCATGTATATACATGGTATTAATTGGGAAAGAGGGAAAGGAATAAGGATGCCAAAGTTGTCATGAAGAAAGAGGAAGAACACTAATCCTTTCTAATGCCTACTTATTATTGGGGAAATTCATTATCAAAAAGCTTACAGAGGAGGAATTTCAAGTATTTTTTCATGAAAAAGTATCTATTTCTCACCGTCTAGCCCCATAAAGCCTAAAAATGTGGCCCACACAGCCAGTGAGGAAAAAAAAGTTTTTTCTCCTTTATGCAGCGTTCAAATTTTCCCATAGAACTGAGCTTCTAGTGCTCCAGGAAGAGAATCCTTGACCCACAAATGGGTAGAATATGGGGTTTTCATATCTAAATGTACGTGAACTGATTTTTCGTTAAGGTAGTCTTATAAATGACCACCAATTCATGATTTTTTTTTTACCCAGCTTATGCAATCCCAAGAAGATACAAGTTAGTGAAGTGAACCGAAATTAATGTTATTGCCCCTCATTGTGGTAAGGAAAGCACTATATGAATGTGAGTTGTTGTTAATAATAACAATATTATCATAATCATCCACTTGTTACTTGTATGAGACCTTTGACAAATCATTTAACCTTTATAAGTCTCCCCATCTTTGAAAGGGGAACACCGAGCTAGATGACCTGCTTAGTCCCCTCAAGTTAACTCTTAATCAATGATCTTATAATCATCCTCATGCAATTAAAATAATAATTTGAACCTGGTGTGTCAGGGACTCTTAACCAGGCAGCACTGAAACCTAGATTATCACTCATCCCATTTCACAGATGAGCAGAGCAATTTCTCTTTCTTTCTAGCATCCAGCAGTGACTCAGCAGTCTCCTACTGCTTCCTCTCCTGCTCTGACTCTTTGGAAATATTCTTCCTGGGCCTTCTGCCTCAGATTAAAGAGCAAGTAACAGATTGCTCACATATTCCAGTAGCCCAGTTTAGCCGATTTCATAACTCTCAGAGACATTTAGTTTTAGATTCTTCCTGCTAGATTTATGGGCCCAGCTTTAAACAAACCATTGTCCATTAGAACATCTTCAAACTGACAGTTCCATTTAGGTACTAAAAGTGACCACAATGGAAAGTTCATTTAGGGCATAGGGAAAATAGAATTTAAGAGTTGCTGGAATTTTTCGGAAAAAAAAAAGACTTCTTTTTTGCTAGTATAAAGTATTAAGCCACAAAATGGGATCACCCAGAGTGTCCCCCTCTTAGATTGTTCATGCAAAAATTATGCATCTAAAGTTGTTGCATTTATAGAATCCAACCTTATTTTGCTTCTAAAGACTAGATACAAATACCACCTAATAGCTCTGATATTCTGGACCTCTCATCCTGCTATTTTATCTAATTCATTTTAGATAGGCAGGAAATGAATATTATTTTAACCCATTTTAGAGATGATAAAACAAGCTTGGAGAGCTTAAGGGGCTTGCCACAGGCCACAAAGAAAGCTGGCAGGGTCAAGAATGGATCTCTGTTTTCCTGGACCTCAAGGGGAATGTAGGGAGGTGGGGGGGAAGAAGGGGTCAAAGCAGGAGTTCATGGTTCTCCATTTATTTAGGGCCCTACCTTAGCCAAGTTGATAGGAAAAAGAAGTCCACAACCTAAAGTGGAACACAGAATACGTGTAATATTTGGGTCCTGTTACTGTGGTACTCTTACGTTGGAGTAGCAATGCTTTCAAGTACCAGGTAGAATGAGATTCTTATACTGACCACGTACCATGTAACCAAGGCACCATGGTGCCATGTGAGCTTTTCTTAGTAAGGGATAGCTAATAAGTAATTCATAGTGCCCCATTAACACCTAAAGGCCCTCAAAAACAAACTAGGTACATAAATTAGAACACAAAGGGAATAAAAAGGTGGCAGTGGCAGATAAAAGTCATGTGGAAAAAACAGCACTAAAGTAAAGGGGCTGCACCAATGACCCCTGACCCGATGAAAGTATCATGCTTCATAATGTTTTAAAAACCCAAACTGATATACAAAAGTTTCTAGAAGCATGACATCCAAGAGGCAAAAATGTATCCTCATCTAATTGAGGGATATTTTATACCATATATTATTAGACTACGGCTTTATATTTGAGGTTCCACATTTTATAAGACAGAGGCAACGCAGTTGGAGAAGACTCAGGATATTAATGAAAATGACCAAAAGGATGTCATTTTAAAGAAATTAGGACTATTTAAAGAGAGGAACTTAATAACACTTGTCAAATATTTAAAATATGGTTTTAAGAAAGACTCAGGCCAGCTGCCAAGAGGCAGTATGGTACAGTGGGAACAGCACGAAATGCTAAAATCGTAGTCACGAGACCTAAGTTCAAATCTGGTTCTGCTACTAAACTACCTGTGACCTTGGACAGGCCACCTCTTTGGGCCTCAGTAATCTTATCTATAAAATTAGGAGGTTTTATTAGATGATCTTTGAAGTCACTTCCTGATCTGCAACTATAATCCAAAGAGGAGAAAGGGGAGAGGAACAGACTCCAAATGCATTAAGAAAGAATAAGTAGGGGGCCACTAGATGCCGCAGTGGAGAGAGCACCAGCTCTGGAGTCAGGAAGACCTGAGTTCAAATCTGTTCTCAGACACATAACACTCACTAGCTGTGTGACCCTGGGCAAGTCACTTAACTCCAACTGCCTCAACAAAGAAAAAAAAAGAAGTAAGAAATGAGGAAGAAACTTCACAGTCAAGGTGATTAGACTGCTGGGGGAGAATGCAGAAGGTCCACTGGTGAAGAGTAAGGCGGGCAGATAACTCTCCATCTTGGATGATTTTAGATAGGGTCCTGCCTAAAGGCAGGAGAGTGAATGGAGTGATTTTCTCAAGCTCCTTTCTATGAATGGTAACTAGGTGGAATCAGAGTTGTCCCCTTCTTTCCTCTCCCTTATTTGGCTGACACTTCAAATGTCAGACTGGGAAACACATAGGCATTGCTGTGAAATGTATCAGAGTCAATGACTCACTATGAAAAGGACAAGTGTGTAAACTGACTTCCTTACCAGTGAAGAATCCTTTCCCTTTCTTCTCTACTCTCTCTGGGATAAGGCTCCAGTTCTTCTCTGATTCATATCCTGAGGAAATCAACATGACACAGAATAGCTGAGTGTTCAATAAAAAATGTCTCTGACCCACACTTCAAGAATCTATCTCCTTTCACCCCAGAAGTTCATTATTTCTTCGAGAGACCCCTCTTCCCAAAAGAGTATGTGTAATACGATGTGATATAGATGAAACAGGATGAATGTTATTCCTGAAATGCTACTTTATATACAGGTATTACTGCGGAGGCAGCTGGTGGCACAGTGGATAGAGCACCAGGTCCAGAGTCAAGAGGACTCATCTTTGCAAGTTCAAATCTGCCTCAGATATTTACTAGCTGTGTGACCCTGGGGCAAGTCACTTAATCCTGTTTGCCTCAGTTTCCTCATCTGTAAAATGAGCTGGAGAAGGACAAGGTAAAGTACCTTTACCAAGAAAACCCCAAATGGGGTCACAAAGAATCAGACACAACTGAAATGACTAAACAACAAAATGCAGGTATCACTGAAGCCATTTTTAATATGAGGAAGGACAGAATAAAAAAAATTAAGCTAGCCTTAGAAGCAGGGGTTTACTTATCCAATGAAGATGAATAATTAGTTAAGCAGTGAGCAAATGCCATTAACTATCTGTGGGGTATTGAGTACTATAAAAGACATTATTCAGGAGACAAAAAAATCACTCAGTTCAATTAAAAACTACACAACACAGTCCCTGTCTTCAGCAAATTCCCGATCTATTCATGTAGGTAAAATATGCAGTGATGAAATGATTTCAGCATGATTATCAAGCTGTGCATCAACAAGTGTGAAACACTATAAATTAAATGCCACCGTGAAGAAGGGATATGGGGGGGAAAGAATAATCAGAATAAGGTAACGTCCATTCAAGAAAAATTCTGGAAGGAGGTAGTATGAATGGCTTACCAGGGACACAGTAATAAATATTTTCATTTTATTCCTTTCCTTCCTGCACACATAGTGCAAGGGAAAAGGGTAGCGACAGGAACTAGGATTTAGGCTTATAGAGGAAAGACATATTTTTTTCTGCATTCATTTGTACAACTATATTGAAGAAATGGCCAGAGCTCACTGAACAAAGGAAGAGTTGGAAGAGAAAAGTGATTTTTTTCCCGTGACTACAGCTCTATCTACTATTACTTCTTCCTGTCAATTACCATAGGGTCCCATCCAACATGAACTATAATCCTTGTAAGCGAAACGAGAGGGCACTTTTAAATAAGAGAGGCAGGGTAGGGAGTGGAGAGAAGAAGCATCAATTTCCACATTTCAGTTCCATTTTGTCCTATAAAAAAAGGAATATTATCCCTAAATCAGTCTTAGAAATAGCCCTTTGCGAGATGAATAGAACAGAACACTGATTGCTGATTTCCTTCATTTTACTCCCAATGTATTTCCAGGCTATGAGAGAGTGGACTATTTAAGACATCCCATGGGATGGTAAATATGCAGCATTTACTTAAAAGGTTGTATCCTAAAATGTATTTGACCTTCTCTCAGACTAGCACATGACCATCAAGAGAATCCTTAGTCAAAGGGCTTTGGAATAAAGATGTCTGTCTTGCTAGACTCATCTAAGCTTTTTAATAGGGAGATGTTCAGGTGAGTAAAGCACCATCAAAATTCCCACAACAAACTCTTTTCTCAATCAAAATGGAACCGCAACATCCATGGTGTAACATCACAGTCCCTGATACGTTATATAAAGAAAACATAGATTGGAAGAGGAAGTGCGTGAGACCAAGCACACAAAAAAGGACGTCACCATTCAAATCAATACATTTCTTAGGGCTTAAGGATTCAGTTCTCAAGACATAAGAAAGTGAGGAGGTCAACAAACAATTGGGGGGAGAAATCACACACCTTATCATTATCAACATAATATATGATACTTTCCTTTCTGTACAAAAAAAATATTTAAAATAATATTCTACACATATCCAGAGCATCCTTACATGCTTGATGAAGGTATGAAAAAGGGATGGGCAGGATTTTATAAGTGATATTTGACAGCAGACCTCACCTTTGCAGTCATACAGCTATCTGAAAGGTATAAAGAATACAAAACTCTATCATGTTTATCATTTGATAACTATAAAAACCACTTGAATAAGGAGAATAAAACTCTACTTTTAAGGCTCTCTCCTCCAACAAGGTATCTCCACACAGATGTTAAAATCGTATAATATTGCTTGATAGATGTTTGTACAATAACCCTCTGAGCAAATTCTTAGCCCATTTTTAATACAAATATGGTACACTGCATTTTCCTTCATATTATGTTAGAGACACGATCTCATTACTATGGGGGTCCCTTCCACGGATGCAAATCACATCCCATGTGCACTTTTTTCATCCTAAGTGATTCTTGCCTGTGTCTTTCTGTAATTCTTTCATTGAGGTTTGTCCTAATTCTTCTAAGACTTCGGGAATACTAGTATGGCACTCATGTGGTCCACCTATAATCTTGCCCTTTTACTATGTATCTGGCCCATGTCCTTTTCTAGTTGTACATGTCTTTTAATGTCTGTTAGTAATATCTGTCATAAAAATAATATTCTATAGCCTGGCTATGTCTACCATGCATTTTTTCATTGCCTCATGAAGCACCTCCCAATGGATTCTCCCCAGAATTGAAACAGGACACAAAGGTCATACTGAATTATACCTGGGGAACAGCCTAGTGGTACAGTGGGAAGAATACTGGTTCTACTGGACAAATCACTTACCCTTGCAGGACCTCCGTTTCCTCGCGTGTAAATGTAATGTAATGTAAAGTATATGACCTCTGAGGTCCTGTCCAGCTCTAGACCTGCCACCCTACAGCAAATCCAGGGATGTTAAACTGCTAAACTGTTAAAATTTCAGGAGCAGCCCAATCTTTTCTTTAACATCAATATTCTCCCAGGAAGAAAAGAAACAAGCATTAATTAAGCACTTACTACATTCCAAGCACTGTGTTAATCACTTTACAAATAACATCTTATTTGATCCTCATAACAAGGAGGTAGGGGCTCTAATTATCCCCGTTTTACAGTTGAAAGAATGGAGGCAGACAAAGGCTAAGTGCCTTACCCAGGGTCACACAGCTAATAAGTGTCTGCGACTAGTTTTAAACTCAGATCTTCTTGACTCCAGGCCCAGTACTCTATACTCTGTACCACTTAGCTGCCTCTGTATACTGATGAATTAATCCAGTCGCTTGCCCGTCCAACTGTTTGTCATAATCTGGGCTAAATAAATTCTAAATCCACTTTTTTTTTCCTGTAAGAATGGCTAGACCATTTTCTTTAGCAGGACCATGATTCTCATTAAGGAATAAATCTACAGAACCTCTCAGTTGAGAAAGAATCCCTCTTTCCTATTAATAATCTCTTTTAGTGACCAATTTCTTCACAATACAATACTTTAGCAATACCGCCTCAATTTGCAGGTGAGGAAACAGAAGCACTGAGATTTTCACTTTGTAGGATCCCAAGGGCAGAAGAAATTTCCTGCCTTCATCTCCCCCTCCCATCCCCACCCCAACTCACTCCAAGTCACTTTATGCTACAAACTACTATAGCCAGATCCCCCAAACTATTCATCTTTCCCCTTTCTCCTTAAGTCACTGCATCATCCAAGCGATTTGCCCAGAAGCACACACCTACTAAGTATTTAAGGCAGGATTCAAACCCAGGTCTTCCTGACTACAAGTCCAGCTGTTTAACCATTATGCTTCACTGCCTTGTTGAATTCCCCTGCTCCAGGTGGTGGCCTATTTATTTTAAACAAGATCTGATACCCTGACATTCCACGACAACAAAGTAATATGGCCACTCCCGCCTTGCACTTTGTTGTAATAGGCATTAATGTCTGTATGGTCTTTAAGTACAGAGGCAGCTGCTGTCTAGAATTCATCATTAGGGGGTTGGGACAATGCAAAAGGAAAGCGGAGCAGTGAGTGCAAAGGTTATGGATCAGTAGGTGTAGAAAGATTAGTTGCCTGTCAAAACCACAAAGTACTCAAGTTTCTGAATTAGCAGGATGCCTTCCTTTGCCTGGCAGCGTGTGTAAAATAGGAACATCTGGTGACCCAATGCTGTGAGTCTCCATGCAAGAATGATATCCATCTACCAGCTGTCAACTCCAGCCAATGAGAGTAAGAGCAATTTGCCCACCCTACTCCCCGACTGTAAAACTAAGAAGCACCCCTATACAAGAGGGTGCCCCACCTAGTCCAAAATGCCCTCTTCTGTGCTGTCCCTATGGGCAAGATTGACAAAAGATGCTCTGTGATCCATGAATGGTGAAGAGAGGTAACCTGATATTGAACCCCCAAAGTTTGCCTGGACCCTGGGGCTTTCCACGGGTCATACTAAAAAACTCATGAGTCATGGGGCCAGAGGAGAAGGGTGTTTTTAGTGGATGGCTTATTTCCCCTCCTTGATGAATCACAAGGATAATCACTAAATTGTATCCTGTCTGTGGAAGCAACCAAAGCCCCTATTTCTGGCACCACTGGCCTTTCTGGTTTCGTGAGTAAATGTCACAGGCATGCCATTACACCCTACTGAGAACCAGCCGCCTATATGGTGCTCCTTGACATCTGGGGTCACAAGTGAGGTGAGATCTTGTGGTCTGAGCACCAGACCAGGGATGTGAAGTCTCTCAAATCTCCACCTTGGTTCTGACATGAGAGCAATGAGACAATTAATGCCCTTCGTTTGAATATCCCTTTGGCCTTCCTTTCTTTCCAAAGGAGTATAAGATTACGAGTATCTTCTGTTTTTTTTGGCAAATGACTCTCTATTATCCATAGGTGGATTATTTCACTTTAATCCATCATGATGTCTCCCTCCCCTGATATATTTCATTCCAAATGCCACCCAGCACCTTTGTTGCCAAACTCTGGCTCACTTGGCATGTGCTCTGGGAGCACAAACTCATTTTAACATTAACCTGAGCCACACATAATTAGTGAAGGTAAATCTCTTGCTTCTAAAAAAGAAAAGAGTTAAGGTATTCCAAAG